AGTGCTCTAGTTTGGGAGAAGGTCTATTGAATTATTTGAAATAAGAATGTAGAGGAAAACAAGTTATTTCATCACAAATGCTTAGTACGGAACACAGTACTAAATACTAACACTCAGACTTCTTATACCTGAAAAGGTTTTTAAGTGACATTCCAAGTTCTCAAGTTCTTCAGGAAGAGATGGCCTGGATGAAGGAAAGACTGTCAAATTTAGGATCACCAGTGGTACTCTGTCACAATGACCTGTTGTGTAAGAATATTATTTACAACAAGAAACGAGGTAGGTATTGAACTAAACAGTAAGTAGTGGCTTAATTTGTTTATGCTGTAATTGCGTTTGCTACATCAGTAGTGTCATTTTACTGACTTTCATGAGTGAACTCAATTTGAGCTTTTAAGAACCAATGTAGTGGTAGTGATATCTGTGCAAATATTAAGTTGCTTAATTAGCTAATTGTCATCTATATGTACTGTACAGAGGAAGAATGTTGGTGTTCCTTGCTTTACTTAATGAATTTGTGAATCCCTAGCTTGCCTGTATGACTAGGATTCAAAGTATGTAATTGTTTGTTAATTCTATTCTAGTCATATAAAGCTTTTTGGAGGGGGAAAAAAAAAATCATACAAGCATAGAAATAACCTGAAGACATTATCTCCTGTAACAGCTGTATTGTTCTGGTTTGTGATTGTGGGAAGATGCTTTCATAATGAAGTATCTTAGTGATACTTAATGCTGCATTCTGTGACTCTATTTCCTGTGTGAGGTACACAGGTGTCTTAAAGATTTCCTTTGTAAATACGTACTTCATTTAAACAGTTGTAGGCAGTACGCATCCTAGCAAAGATGAATTATACTTTTGCTTTTATTATAATAAATTTAACTCATAATTCACGTTATTAAAGAATGCCTTAACTAAAATCTATAAAGCCTCTGTATAAACCCGCAGCTTCTTTTAATTCTGGATTTTAGTGGTTTGAGGTTCGGTTACTAAATGAATCAATCAAACAGGATATTAAAACAAACAAAAAAGGCAAACTGGCAACACTAAAATGGCCATGGTGCAGTAAAAATGAACAACTCCTCCCACTTCAAATATCTCAGCTCAGCTGAGTGCAACAAATTCATCAGATTAGATCAAGATTTTTTTTTTGAAGTGATGACAACATGTTCCTTCTAGTAGCTTCATATTTGTTTGTGACAGTTTGATGATAAGACTGTTGGTATGTAAGCCAAAAGCATGTGAAGTAAACGACTCGAGCTGAAGTATTCTCCATCAGTCGTCATTGGTCTTTGACCTTTTAAACTTACGTGCCTTAATTTCTAAATAAAAACTAGCAAAAACATGCTGGAGTTGGTTCTAGTATGAAAACTGGCTGTGTATGTATAACCAGTTTCTGCATCCGGTATGCACTGAATGCAAGTGAATTGAGAAAATTAGTCTTTTAGTGGTTTGCATACAAGTTTCCTTCTGAGTAATAATATCATGTTGAAGGGAATTGCAAGTACTTCTAGTTCTATAGGTGTGTACATACATATGTATGTATATACACCTGTACAATGCTATTAACAGCAGTTTTAAATTCTAAGAATTCAGTATGAAACTTCAATGGTTTTACTTAGTTTCAATGGTAGGTTATAGTTCTGCTTAAAAAGAGGAGAGGGGGGAAAAGCATGGAAGGTATAGAAAAAAAAATCAGCTTGTGGTCTTAAACACATTGGAGTTGTGATACTGTAGTACCAAAAATAAATCTATTGTTATTGTGTGAGTTTTCTCAGTGCTGAAACTACCTTGAGTTTTAGCATTCCGTAACAGACTCATTGAAGTAAAAGTAATTTTTATAGTCACTTTTCATAGTAGAACCAAGCTGGGGGGGAAAAAAAAAAATATCAGAGGAATTCCTTCAAAAGGCTCACTATCGTGGTCAATAGACTTGAAGTTTCTACTTTTAAAACAAATGCTGTATGCTTTTCTTTTTGTAAACAGAATGGAGGAAAAAAACAATGCCAGCAGTGCATCACTTATGAGCAATCCTACAGTAATGAGTGTGTGAGTGCTTAGTGTTTGGGGACAGGGTTGGGAGGAGGGAGGTACATAAAGCACTTTGGCTTCAAGCTAGCTGTAAACATCTTGGGGGGGGAAGACTTGGAAACAGTAAATACATATACTAAACTTATGTTTGAATGTTGCACATGTACTGTGTTGTAAAACTTCTGCAATCTGGGTACAACAGGTACCATTTTCATAGTAACCAAACCTCAATGCCATCTGTAGAATATTTGTCTGTTGTTTGAAAGCTGTTTCTTACAGTATACTTTTTACAGAGCAAAAAATACCTGTCAGTACAATCTTAAGATGAGGAACATGATTTTAGAAGTGGAAGCTCAGCTTTTAGCTGTAAATAAACTTGTATTGCTGGAATTCTGTTTAGCAGAGCAGAAGCTTTTATTGGTATACAAATAATTTTGCAAGAGCACAAAATCCCATCTTTAAAGATATACTTCATTAGGAATGATGTCAAACTGTATGAAGGTAGTTAACAGCTTTGGTGATGCTGAACTCTTACTAAATTTACTCTTTCATCTAGAAAGGCTCCTGTGTGTCAGAGACCTTGGTGACCCTGAGCTGGAACGAGAGAGAGAATCAGTCTTCTAGATTAACTACTATTTTTTTTCTCTCCCCAGTAAAGTTTGAGCAAACCTGGTAGTGTTTATCTGGCTTTTCAGAAGCTGGCACAAACAAAATAACTCATTTACTGGTTTTAGCAACACGGTATTTATAATTTTGTTTGTGAATGCTTAATTTGCACATGTACTAGGCCTGGGGTGGTTGCGTGTATGTTTTTTAAGCTACAGCCTATCAACAGATACTAGGACTCTTGTCCAATGTAGTTAGAATGATTGTGGCTTGTCCCAGTGCTTTGCTTTAGACTTGTCCTCTGCATTAAATTTATGTTAATTTTTCAGACTTGAAAGAAAAATCATAGTTGTGCCACATACTGCTTTTAAGAAGAATCAGTCTTGTGTCCTTAATAAATGCTGTTTACGAGACTGGAAGAGCATGTTGAGTGCTAGCTTCATTTAATGGAGTGTCACTCATCTTACTTGAATTTGTTCATGCTGTGGCTGAGAGAACTCTGCCTCTTGCTGTTTTGTTAATGTCCGTTTGTACTCACTCAGGATATGAAAATTTGCAAGTGTTACTGTACATAACTTATTATTATCAGTGTGAACTACTCTTTGAAGGATATAACTCAGAGCTTCGCGTTGCTCTTAATTACAATTGGGCATCAAGATAGTCAAAATATGCTTGATGCTTGGTACTGCTTATTTATAGACCTTGTGTTATGATGCTCTTAAAGTTTGGTGGTTTTTTTCAATGTGACCTGGGAATTTCCAAAAATACCTGATGTTTTAAGAGTATTCAAATACTTGTTATTCAATAAGACCAAGTATCAGTATTCTTTTGTCTATATCTGTATGTGCTCTTTTTGAATGTATAAAAATCACCTGCCAGGAAGTTAAGTGTGTAGGTAGATGGCTAGTTTTGTTCTGTTTATTCCCTCTGCCTACCCAATGTTTTCTATGATCTTTGGTAGGAGTCTGTGGGTGCTCAGTGCTTCTGAAGACTGAGGTATGTTTAAGGCTTCTGGTTTTGATCTAAAAAACTTTTTTTTTTTTTTTGCAAAGGTATATTGGGTATTTATAGCTAAAATTATTCTTTGGGTATATGACCCATTTGTGAATTTCAAGTATGTTCCTAGCATAGATCATTGTCTTTACTGAAGCTGTCTTCTAGGGCCTCAGTGGCTCACCTGATGAGCAGGATGGGACGGAACTCAGGATACATCATTCTGCTGTGGTAACTACAGCTAGGACTTGCACGTTGAAAGTGCTTACCGTATTACACCATTAAAAGTGAGGAGCAGCTAGAAAGAGGTGTCATCGCCCTGCTACCTTTCAGTTCCCTGAGGAGATCTAACAGATGTCCTCTTGACTACTACTTGATCTATTTAAAAATTGAATTTCTGGTGTATGGAACACATGTATTCCATTTTGTGTCTTTATGTAGTTTTCATAGGTTAGATTGCATGTTGTCTACAGTGGTAGACCCCTTGATGAAAGGAGCGTGTTTCAACTGGAAATGTTCAATACTCTTGATGCCTCTATTCCTGTTGGTAACAATAGCTTCTCTAGAGAGATGATAGAGCTTAGCTTTAAACCATGTCTTGCTTCAATAAAATACAAATGTGCTTAGACTAGTGTCTCTTTGTCGGTCTGCCTGCTCCTAGTGAAATCAGTGGGATGTACAAATTCTTAGTACTTATTAAAAACTTCACAACAAAAGCTAGCTCCTTAACTAGCAGTGCAAGCCATGTCTTTTAGAAGTGGCTTTCCTGTATGAGCTGCAGTAAATCTTAAAAGTAACTTCTAATACTGTGGATACTTAAACAATTAATGCAAAGTTTCTTCTGCTAAAACAAGGTAGCTGAGACATGTGTGCATTTATGAAGTGACAAACTTGCGGTTTTTGCTTTCTTTCAGTTTCACAGAAAGAACTGTGCATCTTTATTTTAAGCCTTTCATGCAAAAATTAAACTTAGGTTGAGTTCCACAGTAGCCATAAGTCTGAAAGAGATCAGTAAAAATGCAGGACTTTTTCACTTTAAACTTTTGTCTTATTGAATGTGAGTTTGCCAAATTTTCTTCATCTGCTATAGATTAAGTATGCCATTGTTGCTGCTGCCTTGTGGTGGCATGCACCGTGCTACTTGTGCACTGACTGGAGGTTTATTGCATCACTTGTTCACATGCATTTCCGCATAGGAGAGTGCCTGGTAACAGCCTCATTCGTGTCTTGTTGGATTCAATTTCTTACTGTACATAATAGTATTTACATCTGGAAGTAAGTTTTAAATGTTAGCTGTACTTAAAAATGCCTAATAGCGCATACGTATATTCAAGATTAAATTTGCACATGAAAGAAATTTAAAGTATTTCTGATGCTGATATTTTGTAAGTAGACTTTTACCTGCCATGTTTGTATCTTAGGTGGGGGAGGATGGAAAACCCTTTGAATACAAGCACTACCAAATGTTTGGGGGTGTGTGTAGAGGGGAAGTTCAGGAGGTTGGTTGCGTAGCAGAATATTAACCAGGGTTGGGCTGTACAGGTGGTGTTTCTTAAAAGTAGTACTAAAGAACCAGTGGGAAATGCAAGCATATGAAAGTTATATGAATGTGCCAGTCAAATGCTGGCAGAAGTTAATCTGTGACAATATTATAAGATCTTGGCTGCAGCTGCTGTAAAATTTCTTGTCCCTTCAGAGTTCTAGAGAACCTCAATTTTCCGTTGCCAGCAAGATTTCCCTGGGAGGAGCTTGCCACTCTGCAGGCCATTTTCATGTTGGTTTGTCAGAGCCTAAAAGGTTTAACCTCATAACCTTGGTAAGCAATCCTCTCTTTCTGTGGAAGTAAGGATAAACTCTGACTTGGAGGATTGTGACTAAGTGATTTTTTTTGTCTGTGTTGTGGGGCTTAACTTCCATTATAAGTGCTTAGACAGGAAGATTTATCCATCTGGAAAACATTAATGTGTTAGTATTTCAAATATGGTAAAGATGAACTACATAAATGCAAGGAACTCTTCAAACAAAGTTGTTCTGTGATAACTTGGTGAGGACATTTATCTGGCAAAGCTATTTGTATTTGATATGTGCAATATCCATAAATAGTAAGGAGGCGATATATTAAGACACTTAATCCTTAGTCTAGGAAATACATAATATACTTAACATTATTCATGATTTACTTTGGTTTTGACCTGGAGTTCTGATAGTTAGCATTAGTATCTGTAAGATGTTTTAAGTCATGCTAAGAAGATTGGTCATTGTAATAGAAGGAATATGTTTTTATTGAGTAAATATGCAGCTAGTCATCAAAAGAATGGGTGTAGAGAGGGAGAAGGGTGCAACTGTGATAATTACCCATTTCAGCATAGCAGTGGGAAATGTAAGATTTTGCATTTTAATATTCCAGTACAAACAGCTCTTAAGTTAACCCATTGCTTTTCTGATACTTCTAGTAAATTTGCTGTTTTCTCTTTTAAAGTACAAGAGCTCTAGTTTTACCTAATCCATCTTGTTAATGTCTCGACTGTGATGTGGTGTAGACATTCTTGAGCAGGTTCAATGCTGTATTGCCTTGAGTGAGGCATTTTCCCCAGCTTCACTATAGGTAAATGTAATTTGGAAACGTTTGGGGCTGTGTTTGCTGCTTTATCAGTCCTTGTTTACATAACACTACATATTTTCATAGTTTTGAGGACCTGAAGATTGTCTAATGGTTTCTTGAGACTAGTTTAAGCCAGCTAAAAAAAGCAACAATTAAGAATAGTCTTGCTTTGTAAGTGCAGTTGGAGGAAGCAGGAAACATCAACATGTTAAAGGAAATATCAACATGTTGCAATGTGTTAGTCCACTGTGGTTGCACACTTGTGTGAGAATAAACAGGACTGTTCTTTTTAAATTGGGGGAAAATTGATCCGCTATTTCTACGTAAAGTTTAAATAAAAGATCCTCTACTATTATTTCTTATTTTGAAGGTAAGGGATGCCCTCCTGTGGTAGAAGTTAAAATTGAAATTCCGCTGTTCAGAGTTCGAAAATAGAGAGCTATAAGCTCTAAGTAATTATTTCAGAGCTTGCTTGAATGAATATTCAAGGAAATACCATATCATAAAAATCACAGCCTTACCCTGGAATGTCTGAGTGCACACAGTGGGGCACAAGTAAGACGGGTGTGCAGTTTTGTTTTGTTTTCCCCCCCAAAACTTCAAAGGACACCAAAGGATTAGGGCTGTGACTCCATTTGATATGGATTCTGATGTTGCTGCTTTGTCTCTCACATAGGTGATGTGCAGTTCATAGACTATGAATACTCTGGGTACAACTACCTGGCTTATGACATTGGAAATCACTTCAATGAATTTGCAGGTAAAAATTGGATTTCTGAGGTAAAGGCAAACTGGTTTTATAAAAAAAAAAAAACTCTCATTCTTGCCCATTCTCTTTTTCCCTGTCTGTGTTTCTAGATACATGTATATAGCTGTTCATCTGATGGTATCAAAATGTGTTAATGTCTCATCTTGTAGGCCAGTTATGCCCTTCCTTTGCAGTTCTGCTAACCCAGAAATGGGGACATCATGTCCTAAGTTTTGGCAGAGTCAGATAAATACAGAACTCATAGCTTTCCTTCTGTGAAATGGAAGCAGAGACTCAGCCCACTGTAAGGAAATACTGCAGATGTATCTCTTACAGCATAGGTATATATTGAGAATACGCTGTGTGCTTTCACAGTTCCAAATGGCAGGCTTATGAGGCTTTTTTGGTGGCTTTGCATGTGTGCGCTAAGTACTTGCCCTTGAATCATGTCCTAAAATGAGAAGTAAAGGCTAAGACTCTGGTAGGAAAAAGGTAGAATTTTATGAATAAGGTGTTGGTGGGCTCATTCGTTTACTACTTCAATTTTTTTCAGTGAATGCTCGTTCTGTTTACTCCGTAAAAGAGAAATAACCTTGAACGTATGGTGTGTTATTTCAGAAGATAGGGCAACAGGAAAAATCTACGTAATGATTAATACAGATGGAATGTGCAGTATGGTGAAACTAGGAGCCTTAATCTACCACTTGTTTCACCAACTGAATGTTCAAGTCTAGATAACTTAAAAAAAATTCAGAGTATATACTTGATAATTTAAGTATTTGGAAAGCAAGTTAAATTCTTTACCAAATATATTTGAGAGCTTTTGATTTTTCATCTGGGACTTCTTCTGAGAGTCTGACTACATCTTTAAGGAGCTAAGTACAGTAAGAAGATTAAACATGATTAATTTTTTTTTTTTTGCCTATGGAGAACAGTTGTGCTTCACCTCTGCTATTCTCTGTCCATGCAGTAAAAATCTGATTTTTTTTTTTTTTTTTTAAAAATGATATTTCAACGGTCGTTGACGCGAGAAACTTAGGAGCGCACAGGAAGATAAATG